TTGAAATCCCCGTTCCTCCTGGCTCCAAGCAAGATCCCAACATACGTGTGCCCTAAGGCTTTGTTTTGGGAGGAACTTGTCACCCGTGTTGGTGCTGGGACAAGGTTCTGGCTCTGCAGCCTATGCATGCAGTGTGGTAGCTCACAAGGATGGGGAAGCTGCTGCCTCTGAGAACCCCCAAAAGGCAGCAAAGTGCTGGGGTAAGCCTGGTCTGAGAACAAGGGCTGGAAGTCTGCTAACCCTGGGTGGCTGTGGGTGTCCATGTGCACACACGTGTGTGCGCTCTGGGAAAGCTCCCTCACATCTGCCACATCTGCCTTCATGCCCCTCCAAATGTGAGCAATTCACACTTGACTGTTGTAGCAAGAGGCGACAGGCCAGGGTCGTGCCCCGGTTATGTTGATGGTACCTCCATGGACCACCCTTGATCAGTGTGTACAGCCTGTGTGGGGCCTGCAGCATGGCCAGCTGGGACCCCTGAGTTGTGTGGTGCATGGGGTTTGCTTTGAGTGTGCAGGGTGCTGGGAGGTCCCAGTCCCTGCAGGGTTAAGGAGCGCCAGAGCGCTCTAGGAGGGCCAGTGATGTTCACACAGGAGCCTTGGTTGCCCCCCATTGTGACACAGAACATACTGATGCAAGGTGTGATCCAGCGTCTCCCAGCAGATGCATCTCTTGGGACCTCCCATCCCAGCATCCTCCCTGCAGTGCTGGTTCCTGCTTGCTGCCTGCCTGCAGTCAGGGGAGCTGTGCTGATGGTCACCACAGCCACACTGATGTCACTCCAGCCCGTTGTCATAGGAACAGCTACATGCTGCAGAGGCACACCAAGGCAAAGCTGGTGCCTGGCTGGTGTTTGGGCTGAGGGCTGCACACAGACATCTGGACCTCTCCTATCCCAGCATGGGGGACACCCTGTCAGCTCCCACCAGTGTTGCCCTTCCTTGTGCTGGCAGGTGGCATGATCAGCTTTGACGTCTTCCCAGAGGGCTGGGACAAGCGCTACTGCCTCAACGTGCTCGATGATGAGAGATTTGACACCATCCACTTCTTTGGGAATGAGACAACCCCTGTGAGTATCCCCTGCTCACCCCTCTCGTGGCCGCTTTCTCTCCTGCATGGTGCTGCTCCATCACAGTTCCACAGCCTGGGTTCCACTCGTGGCACCTCGAGTGCTGCCAGGGGAAGAGACATTCTCGTGCCACAGAGGTTTGCAGAAGGCTCATGATGGTGGCAGGGTCACTGTGCTGGGGAGCAGGTCCATCTCAGCATTGCTTTCCTACCCCTGGCACTCTCGGGGGATGCAGCCACTCTTGTGGCCCATAGGACCCAAAATGCACCTAGGAGGGGGCTTTTCAATAGCAGGAACAGCTTCGCCTTCCCTTTAGAGCAGTGAAGGGTGATGCTTCCTTGCTGCTGTAGACCAGCTCTCCCATCCACTCAGCCCTTTCCAGATGTGGGCAACCTCTGCTCCCCAGATGTGCCCACCACATCTTTTGCTAGTTCATCCATAGGCAGTGCAGGGAGCTCCTGGCTGCCTGGAAGAGCTTTGCTGGTCCTGGGCCTTCCCCATCCTTTATACACTCCTCCCATGGCACAGAGGAGGGGAGACAAGAGGGGGGAGCAGGGCTCCAACCCAGGCCCGTCTGCCTCCCTGGGACAGCAGAGTGCTGACATCCTCTGACAGAGCCAGATGTGGAAGCATGGATGAGGATGCTCTGGTGATGCCCTGCTAACACTTTCCCTGTTTCCTGTCTCCCTGCAGGGAGGGAACGACTATGAGATCTACGATGATCCCCGCACAGTGGGACACAGCGTCCAGAACCCACAGGACACGGTCCAGCGATGCCGCGAGATCTTCTTTCCGGAGAGAGCAAACGAGTGCTGACTGCACAGGTCCTGCAGCCCTGCCCCATCCCTGCCCTCTCCCCTGCCAGGAAAAGCACCTTCACGTGAGGGATCTGCTCAGGGTGACAGGAAATCCCCACTGTGCAGAGCTGGTCGGGCTGTTAAGGCATGAGCGCAGGTGGGTGCGCAGGAGGGGGCTTCGCTGAGCAGCCCTTTGGCACTCCCAATCTGTGGCTGGGGCTCCCAGGACCAGACCCTCCTCGCCTCCAGAAAAACTTCTCTCTTGACAGTTTGGGCTGGGTGGGCAGCAATGTAGATGCTTTCTTGGTCAGAAAGCGTTGAGAGGGCCAGTCACAAGAGCGTGTATATGACCATCCCCGTGCTCCCTCACCCCTTCTCTTCTTTTCCCTCTGTTTCCCTTAACACTTCTGCATGAGGGAGCATGTGTCTCACCTTGCTCTCCCCTTTGCACCTTGGCTGGGGAGGTTGGGGCTGCTGAGGCCCCAGGCACTCTCCGTGGAGCTGCTCCGAGGCAGGAGGCCAGGAAGGCTGTTTGCTCCAAGTAGGAAGGGGTAGCTGCGACCCCAGCTGGTTGCAGCATTGGGCATCCTAACAGAGGGGTCACCATGTCCTTCCCCTCAATGCTACACCGTGCCAGTCGCTACAGGTGACTTGGGAATTACAGTTTTAAAATGACTGACTGGGCTTCTGCTCTGAACTTTGCTCAGGCGCATGAAGAAACTAATTCTCTTTAGCTCTCAAAAAAAAAACACCCAGGATGTATTTTCTGTGTTCTCAAATGAGACCTTCTCTGGTGTGGCTGGAGGATGCCAGGCACCCAATGTGTGCAGGGCACTCTGTGGAGCAGCTGTGAGCAGAAGGCTTCCTGGTCCCCTGCCCACTGCCATGTCCATTAGGTGTCACAAGTGTGCGTCAGTGTAAAACTTCACCCAGGGCATTCATAACAGACCAGGTCACCTTCCTTCCCAGTGCTCAGCTTTCCATCCTGCTGCCAGAGGCATTCTCAGAGAGGGCCAAGACAGGCCAGACCTGGTTTGTACTGCCAATGGAGGTACCCTCTCAACAGTGCCCTCTAAGCCTGCTTTTCCACCCCATCTCATCCCACACGCTCCGTTTACATGGTCACCTTTAGGGAGGCAGGATCTACAGTACTGTCATGTGTCCTGCTGCTCTCTTCTGGGTCTTCATGCGTTGCAAAACCACATCTGCTCTTCAGCCCTTCATCTCATGTTGCCCCTTTGTTCCTGGCAGCTGTGCTGGGACATGTGGCTGCACCGATGACACTAGTCACAACTTGGTACTCCAGAGAAGCTCAGGGATCCCCTCCAGGGAGATGTCCACTTACAGCTACCAGGGCACACGTACCTAGTGTTTGTGGTCCTGGAAGATAGTGAATGTTCCTGCAACCTGCCCCTTTGCTCCCCATGAGCCTTTCTCACCACGTCGCTGTTGCTGTGTCACTGTCCTGTCTCTTGGTCCTGTTTTCTCTCCCCTTTTTCTCCTGTTCCTGCTGTCCTTGCCATTGCTCTTCATCTCCCACCTGGACTGCAGAGAGAAGTTTCTCAGCTGGCTGCCACCACCGTAACCAAGGGACTGCATGCATCAGGTGAGATATGTCGGTACTTGTAGACCCAGGGCAGGGCTCTCGTGTGGCCATGGGCAGAGTCCTGCGTGGTTCTTGGTGCTGCTGCCTGGCTGCAGGAGCAGGGGTGCCGCTCCTCCTCCTGACTGCACCTCCTAACTCTACAACGCATCAGGTCTGTAATGCATCCCATCTGCATGAGCACAAGGGTCTGCCCAGCATCCAGAAATCCCCAACAAATGCACAAACTCCTCTTTCTACCCAGAGGTTGTTGCGTGGCAGAAGAGGACTTGTTGGAGAAACCTGAATGCAGGCTACTCTTCACAGGCCACTGGTTTCGGCACTGAAATCTTCATGGAGGAATCGTGTGTTTTGTGGTTCCTCCTCTGTTTCACTGTGGATCAGGTGATGTGTGCGGTTTGGGGGGGGGGGGGTGTGTGTAATTTTCCTGTAAGTCTATTCAAACCCAGCAGGAGCTCTAGTGAGTTCAGTGGTGAGTGAAGAGCAGCCCTGAAGTCACAAGACACTGTGGTGGCCTTGGGGGCTGAGATGACTTGCACATTTGAAGGGAAGGACAGGCTCTGTCCAAAGCTGCTCCTGGTGGCAGCGCGTCCCTTGCTCAGGGTGGGGGGGTTGCAGGGCGAGCAGAGCAGAGGCAGGGTTGACCTCCGTGGCACCCGCCATCGCTGTCTGCTCAAGAGCTCATATGTGCATGAGTGGGATCAAGCCTAGGAACCTTCCCTGTTCCTGTCTCTGGCTTACACCAAGCCTGGGCCAGGTGAGGGCACCTTGCAGCAGGAGACGCTGTCCTGCTGGAGGGGTGAGGATGACAACAGAAGTAGCTGGGGCAGCACCTCAGAGTCACAGCATGGCTGAGGTTGAAGGGGCCTCATCTGCTCCCACCCTGCTGCTCAAGCAGGGCCGCTGAGAGTCCCAGCTGCCTGCTTTGTGCTCTTGCAGGCAGGGATGAGGCACAGAGCTGGGGCGGGAGCCCTGTGCCTGCCCCTGAGACCCCTTTGCCATGATGTTCCTCACCCGGTGGGTGCCTGTGGTGTGAGCTGGGGGTTCTCCTGTGTACGTGTGAGTGAGATGATGTGGTGGGCCTTGTGTTGGGGAGTGGCTCCGTATCTGTGCGAGATGGGCAGCTCCTGTCTGGCAAATACCAACTGTTAAATAAGAAATATATTTAAATACAGATATATGTATATTAAAAAAAATAAAACCAATCCTACTAAAGCTACAACACGCAGTGGTTGGAGGCAGCGTGTGCTTTGTGCTGGGCTCTGTTGGGCTGAGACACATCCAGATGGCAGGCACCCAAAATCCCTGCAGCAGTGGGGGACCAGCCCCAACCCCAGCCCCCATCCCAGTGGGCAGTAGCCTCCTGTCCCAGGCTCAGCGTCTGCTCCCCCTGAGCAAAGCTGGAGCACCCCAGAACCCCTAGACCATGCTGTTTGGATAAATCCCTGAGTGATCCAGGTCCTTTACCTGGGACAGCCAGCAGCATCCCCACTGTGACACACACAGGACAAAGAGCCAGGATGGGCAGGGCTCATGGGAAAGTCACTTTTAATGGTTTATTGCCAATGTTACAAAGGTTGACACATGGTCAGACAGGCGGGAACCACACTGGAGTTGTAAAAACACCACAAGTCTGGGGTTGTAGTTTATTCCCCCAAAAAATAGGGAAAGGGAAAACAACCAAATCAATCAAGGTTTGCCTTGGCCAAGCTGACTCTGTGTCCCAGGGATCCTGGGGCCTGAGCCAGCATCACCACAGCCCCTGGGTGAGCTGGGCTTGGGGTTGGCAGTGAGATGGGCTGTGGGGTACGCCCCTGTCAGCCTGGGCTAGGGCAGTAGGCAGTGGGTCCTGAATCCACAGGGCCTGGCTGGCCTGTGTGGCACCAGCCTTGTCCCTTCTTCCTGCTTACAACAGACCCCTGTCCCCACTGCAGCAGCAGCAGCAAGATGTGGAAAATGCCACTCTCCAACAGTGCTGAGGGCCAGGAGCAGGGAGCAGGTCCCCAGGGAGCTGGCTGTCACCTCCCCAGGCCCACTTGGAAATAAACCCTTTCAGATGCTGATGATTCCTGGAACATTGCCTGGGGTCAGCTCCGGTCCAGCCCCGTGCAAGCTGTCCTTGTCCCGTTGACCTCTGCCTTGTCCCTCCTGAGCCCGCCTGGCCAGGGCATGGCAGAGAAGACCAAAACCAAAGAAGTTTGTGCTTTGTATACGAGACCCTGCCTACACCGAGGGGCTGGGGAGAAGTGGCTGAGGCTACTTACATCCCTCAGCCCCTCACATCCCCCTGGCAAGCTATGGATATGCACACACACACACACACACATACAGATGGGAAGCAGGGTCTCCAGAGGGCTGGGGGGACAAGGAGCTGCCATCTCGCCCAAAACCACATCAGTATGGAGCCAAAATAAATGCGGTACCGGCCCAAGGGTGGTGGGGAGCACAGAGGTGCCAAGTTCACCCCTGCCCCTGCGGGCACAGGTCTCAGCACCTTGCCAGCAGCCATTTGCCCCTTAGTGTTTTCTTTCTGTAAGCCACCCACCTCCCCGTGACACCGCTGACCTGAGAGCTGTTGATGGAGGGATGTGGCTCAGGCAGGTGCCGTCAACTACCAGCAATAGCGGTACACTGCCCCACACTGCCCCACACTGCCCTGTTTCCCCCCAGCCCCACAGCATGCCCCGCTGATGGTGTGCTGTGGGCAATGAGACCAAATGGGGAGCCCATCTTGCCAAAGCTGGGTTTAGGAGGACGAGCCAAGCTCCCCCAGACTTCCCTCTCCCACTCTCAGCACCGGTGGGCAGGGGTAGGGCTGGTTCCTCCGATCCCCATGGCCTCCGGGGCAAGAAAGGGGACATGGTGCTCGGCACTGCCCCCAGCGCTGGAGGGCGGCAGGGGAGGGCTCTGCTTTCCCCGTCCCCCTCGACAGACACTTACAAACACACACAAAGGAAACCGTAACCTTATAAAAGACACCGAACGCAAACGCCTGCATGTTTGGGGGCAGCCCCGGCCCCACCGCCGCCTCGGCTCCCCTTGTGAGCGGCCGGGCAGGTTTGCTCTGTGGGGCCGAGTGGCCGGTGGCCCTCCCGGGGGCCTAGGAGCCGATGATCTGGCCAGACCACGTCTCGTGCTTCGTGTGGGGTGCCAGGTTGGTGAGGACCACCTCCACCGCCTGGAACTTCTGGTTCTTGGGAGGGATGGGGCAGACCTTGTACGTCACCTCGTCCCCCTCCACCGGGACATACTCCCCCTCGATGCTGCAGGAGAGGAGAGGAGAAGTAGGGCTGGGGCCAAGAGCTGGACTACCCAGCACCAAGGAAGGAAGACACCCAATCCATCAGCTGCGCCTTAGGGGCAGAGGACAAGCAGAGCCTCATCTCCACATCACGGAGACCTCCTAACCCCAGCCCGCAGGTCTCCAGCCCCACACATCCCCAGACTTACTCAGACACGTGCACAAAGATGTCCTCTGTGCCATTCTCGGGGGTGATGAACCCATGGCCCTGGGAGCGAGAGAACTGCTTGCAGACACCCTTGAAGATGGGGCCAGCAGAGGCACGTGCTGTGCTGTAGGAGGAAAGGGATGGAGATGTCTCACTGGGGGGGACAGCACATGGAGAGGTTTGCTAGGAATAGACAGCATTCCATGGGGAGAGTATATGGATCCCACCTGCAGCACTGCCGGCAGACAGGTGCAGAGATGCTGCGTGCCACGATGACAATATGCATCAGCTGCAAAGAGTCCTACTGGTGACTGTGGTCCCTGCTTAGCTGAGCAGGACAGCCCCAAGCCCACTTGCTGTGCGCTGGGTACTCACGCTGAGTAGGTCCTGGTCCTCTTGGTGGGGAGCGGGCTGGGCAGGTCCCGCAGCAGCAGGTTGCCACGCTCCCAGATGCGGCTGCCCTCACGCTGGAAGGGGAAGGTGGGCCACACCGGCGACTTGGGCGAGTGCAGCGGGGGCACCGCTGGTGGGGCGCTGGGGTCTGATGACATGGTGGGGCTGGCGGGCTCCTCCGTTCTGGGGACAGATGGGCAGGCAGGCGGCAGGAGAAAGGGTGCCCCGGGTCTGCTGGGTACCTGCGGCCAGGGGAGCAAAGGGGGATGTTACAGCCCCCCCCCCCCCCAGGGAGGGGGTTTGGCAGTAGGGGCAGTTTGCTGTCAGGAACAGCCCCCTCTGCTCCCAGCCCACATCTATGGGTGCAGGCAGCACACTGATGGCCTTTGGTACTGGGCACCAACACCAGGTGCTAGGAATTGCCCTAGGAAGCCCATCCTAGCTTGGATCAACCCAGAATATTCATAGATTCATAGAATGGTTTGGATCAGAAGGGACCTCAAAGCTCACCCAGTTCCACCCCCTGCCATGAGCAGGGACACCTTCCACTAGACCAGGTTGCTCCAAGCCCCATCCAGCCTGGCCTTGAACACTGCCAAGGATGGGGCAGCCACAGCTTCTGTGCGCAACCTGTGCCAGTGTCCCACTGGCGCAGTTAAACAATCCAAACAGTTCCCGCAGAACAATCCCGAGGGAAGGAAAGAACCTGGTTTGTGGCTTTGCCTTTCATTTGTTTCAGGATAACCCCACATATTAGAGATGAAGTCAATAAGAAGCATGTCCTGGGAGAAGGAGCAGCTGAGTGTAGGCTGCCATAGGAAGGGACCATTTTGGGAAGGATGCCCATGCAGTGCCAGCCCCCCAGGGCTCCCGGCCCCACCCTCTGAGATATTCCCACAGTCTGGGATTTCTGCTGAAAGGATGAAGGAAAAAGGTGGAGCCAACAGGTAGGTCGAGGTCAGGGTCTGAGGTCTCCCCACCACTGGAGGTTGCCTCTGTGCTATGGGATGTAGGACCCAAACCCAGCCCTGGTCAGCAGCTTGCTGCTCACTGGCCACATCCCTACAGGGAAGGGGCAGTGGTAGGCTATTGCAGGCTGCCAACACCACACGCACATCACTGGGACACCTCAGATGAGCCACAACAGCTCAATCACTGCCACTGTGGGCACTGGGCCCCAGGTTTTGGCTGGCATCATGTGGTTTGCAAGGAGGTAAAGCCCAAGGGGTAACCCTGTGCTGGGATGTGCGAGAGGTGGCCTGGCAGCTGAGTCACCCACCAAAGAGCAGGAGCCAGAGCAAGCGTGAGCACGGCTGAACCACCCTGAGCATGAAACCAGGGGCCTGTGCATTCTGAAGCAGGTTTCCCCCAACATCCCATGTTGTTACCATCCCCTTCCCTGCCAGCCCATGCAGCCCTTCCAACTCCGCTGTGGCATGCAGCATTCTTTGGGAGGACACCAGCACACACTGGGAAACCTGGGGAATAGTTAATTTGGTTTCTGACTCATCCGTGGCCCCTCGAGGCACAGTGGCTCTGGGGCAAAGCACAAAAGGGGGTCACCTCAGCTCTGAAATTAGCAGGCACCAAGGACATGGGAAGAGATTTCTAGAGCAGTGGAAGGGTTGGGAGGGACCTAGCAACGCCTGTTCCCCTTCCGGGGGGTTTACCCATCCACACCTCAGTTAGTGTCCTAGTGGTGTCTCCCTCTCAGCCCTGCAAAGCTTCACCCAGGTTTCAGCCAGCAGAGACCACGCTGGAGCCTCACGCCAAGGCAAAACCCAGCACTTTGCTCTTGCCCTTTAAGATGACTTCCAGCCATAACCGCAAACCCCTCTGAAACATCCTTCCCATCTCTGACTTCCCCTCCACCCCTGCACCAAACCCTTCATGCGCTTCAGTGGCTCCTCTGTGCCATGAAGCAACTGGAGCACAAGCACCTGCCTCCTGCTCCACGGCCCACCCACACCAGGGCTGCTCAGCTCCCCCCTTGGAGCCTCAGCATCTCCTTCTTCCATTCCCAGGCTCACCATCTCCATCCCCCATGCCCGAGGAGCTCAGAGGGGCTCATGGAGCCCTGCAAGTGAGACATCCAAAAGCCTGGGCAGCCACCACGCTGCTCCACTGCTCCCATCTGTGTCCCCCACCCGACCACCCTGCCTGTGCTGGCAAGCAGCCTGCCTGCTTCTGGGCAGTAAAAAGTGATGTGGTCCCCAGGCATCGCTGCAGGATCTGGCATCTTCCCAGGAGGATCAGGGTTGGACGAGCAGAGCGATGTGGGGAAGTGACCCTCAGTTCTCTGCCACATCATGGAGCTGACACTATGAAAATGGCTTCACCACAAAGTACCTCCTCTGTGCTGCTTTCACTGAGGAGACCTTTTCGTTTTCCCCACCAGATTAGGGACAATGGAGGGTATTTAACCTGAATGCTTGGAGCAAATCTATTAGTATGCTGAGGGTGTTGGCTGGCACCAGGAGAACGAGCTTCCTCCAGCGGATCCATGTGAGGCTGGAAAAATGGAAGTTTCCCAGAGGGAAAAGAAAAACAGGAGGTGAAGGGGAAGGGGTATGCAAGAGGGGGAGCCTTGCAGGGAGAAAATGGCTTGGGCAGATGAAGTGACAGCCGAGAGTGGGTCTGTGCCAGGTTCACCTGTGGGACCAGCACAGGCCTGGGTGCCCTGAGGGCCTCCTGGTTTGGGTTGAGTGGTGATGGGGAGCAGGAGCCTGCTGTGCATCACCGAGGCAGAGGAAACAGAGAACACACTCCTGAGGCCTGAGGATGGCAACTGCTGTGCGCTCCCATTAGCTGAGCTTGCCCCACATGGGAAAACAAGCTGAGTGCAACAGCCCTCAGGTGCTTTGGGGAGCTCTGGCTGGTCCGTAGGGATGTGGGGAAAGCCCTGGCAAAGCACAGCAGCTCACTGGGACTACAGTGACAGGGCACAGCAAGGCTGTGAGGTCCCCATCCTTGGGGGTGTGCAGCCTCCTGGACACATCCTGCTCAGAGGCATTGCATCTAAGTCCTGCTTGGAGTGGGGGCTAGAGCAGAGACCCCTGTCCTGTGGCCATGCCAAGGTTGGCTCCCAAGGCCAGACACTCTCTGCTCCTCTCCCTTTGTTTGGGGGTCATCCTTGGGGCCCAGTGACTGAACACCCAGCTTTGCTGCTGCTGGTGAAGCTGAGGCTGAGCCGGAGCTTTGGCACCATGGGGCTCCAGGGCAGTATCCTGCCTTCCACCTCATTTAAATCCCCGCAGCAAACAAAGGGACTGAGGAAATTAAACTCAGCAAAAGTGGGCTGAGAGAAGAGGGAAGACATGAGCATGTCCTTGCTGGTGTCCCCTCTACCCAGCCCAGCTGGAGACCAGGGAAAGCCTCTCTTGCCCTTCTTCCTCCTCTGTTCTCTACCCCACCACCCTCTGCCAGTCCTTTCGCCATGCTGCAGCCCCAGCAGGTGACAAGGAGGAGGCACTTGGAGGCATTTTCACTTCTCCTCCATCACCAGTGTCATGCTCCCCTTCATTGGGACCATAAGCACCTGTCCCCACCACAGGTCTCTGCCAGCCAGGCAGACACCACCCTCAGCACCGTGCCCATTGCACGTATGTATACAGTGCAGGGATGAAATCCGGGTCACTCGAGGAGGCGAGGGGAGGCCGCAGCAGCCCAGCTCTGGCGTGGGGATCGGGAAGCCTTTTTCCAGTGTAGCCCCATCCCCACAGCCACTGCCAGACCTGCACCTCGCTCCTCGCTGTCTCCCCTGGGTGGCTTTGTTCTGCAGGTCCCCTGGGGTGACAGTCCTCTGAGGAAGGTGTGCAAGCGGCACTGAGATCAGCACTCCCTGGAAGAATGCTTCTCATAAAAACACCCCCAGCTCCCAGCTCCCCACAGAGAACATCTCAGAATGAACCCCAAAGTGCTCTGGTGACAGGGTTTCCTTCCGCAGCAGCAGCCAGCTTTGCTTTTATGTTTTTCAGAGGGCAGGCTCCCAAGCCAAGCTGACAGTCGGGAACGCTCACAGGCAGAATGCAGGAAACCCAGGCCAATTAAGGCAGACAGGCAGTAGACACATCAGCTTTTATCCTGAGATCCAAGTACCCTATTCATCATCAGCGACTGAAAGGTCTGTGCTTTATCAAATAAAATCACTGTCTTTCTCTGTCTCTTTAAAGCCAAGCACATTGACTTAGGTGCTGTCTGTGACCTTGTTTAACTAAACAGCCCTTCAAGGTCCCCCAGAACGGGGGAAGGAGCCTTTTGAAGAGGCACCAGCCCCTCTCTGCCACTCCCCGTTCATTAGTGGCAGCGGAAAAAAAAACCCCTCACACGTCCCTCAGCCAGGCAGGGGAATGCATATTTAATTGGCTTAATGGCCCTCGGTGAGCTGGCCCTCCCACATGGCACTTCTTTGTGCTCCTTCCCATCTGCTGGAACCTCAAGGCTGCCCAGAACGGATGGACGAATGGATGGGTGGCTGCTCCACCAGCGGCTGTCATGCTCCGGCTCTGGTCATGACCCACCATCCCCTTTATGGACTGTTTCCCTTCACGCCGCCGCATTCCTTTGCAAATCCCTGGCTCAGATGCTGTCTGTCACCACGCTTGGGTCTGCCGAGTGCCGCTGCTCCCCCTGCCCCAGCCAAGGAGGTGGAAGTTATTTTCTCCCTGCTGCCTTTTCCAGCAAGATCCTACATGGGCTCTTCCCTGCCACTCGCCATCATGTTCTCTCTTGTCTCTCATGACTGCCAGTGGTCCCTGTTCAGAAGCCAGATTTACCTCCCTACTTTGTCCACCCCAGTAGCAGAAAGGTGTCTGTATGTCAAACAGACCCCCCCATCTCCGCAGCTGGCTGCCGGCAGCCATCTCCTCACCCCACGGAGCAGGGAAAGCGATGTTCTGGCCCACCGCCATCCTCAGTGGAAGATGATGCCCCCCCAGACCCAGCCTGTCTAGACATGGGCTGAAACAGAAGAGCTACACCCCTCCAGACGCAGAAACGTGCCCCCAGAGCTCAGTGCAACAATAAGAATCCCACATTTCAGCTGCTTGGCATATTCATATGCCAAGGGACCCAGCAGCAACGTGGTAGCCAGCAGAGAGCCCGAATCAGCACCTCCCAGGGGCTGCTGTGAAGGGCTGGAACCAGCTGGGGAACCTGGATGGCTCCAGGCAGGGGGTGGCACAAGCAGGTTACCCCTCGCTGGGCTGCGTTTCTCCATCCTCCCTTGGAGGAGGCTCACAGCCTTGGCGTCTGG